TCCGTCCCCCCGGTTTTGGGGGGGTTTCGGCGGCTCTGGGGGTCTCTGGAAGAGGAGAGGTCGGGGCTGGCAGAAGGAGGAAGGGAAAAAGCAGACAATCCTTTCCGATGTGCTGGGTGACCCTGGGGGTTTTGTGTTTGTGTGGGGTTTTTCTCCCCCCTTGTTTTTATCTCGTGCTCACATAACGACAGCCTCGGCCCTTGTGAGCTGCTAAGTTGGAATTTTAAGAGCCTCTCGGTCCAACCTGAGAAATGTTCAGATTTTTTTTGTTGTTGTTATTGTTGTTGTTTGCTTTGGTCAATGTTTAATAACTTTGTTCGGAGCAGAGATTTTATTAGGCTGATCATGAGTAAGGAATTTCCTTTATTAAGAGGGATGGAGGTGGGGGAAAGGGGGACCGTGGGTCCTTTTGGGTTTTAATGTTGGTTTTGGGAATCCGATGGGTCAGGAATTCAGTGCTGCGGCTCCCCAGGTTTTCAGGAAAACACAGGGATAACGTTAAAAGTTCTGCTAGGCCACACAGCTCTCAAACAATGGCTCTGCTTTCATTTCCAGTGGAACTTTCCAAAAAAAAAACCCACCCAACCCAAACTCCTCCGCTTTGGGGTTGAACTTTTTTTGGAACGATCGTTTTACACGGCGTTAATTTTGTAATAATCCGTGATTTTTGAGGGTAATACGGAACCAGAGCCGGGAGGATCTGGCTGTTGAGCCGGGCTCTGTGTGGATTAAAGCTCCTTTATTCAGTGTTGTCACCAGCGGTACTTCAGACTCGCGGGGAGATTGTTCCGAAGTTTTTTGTTGTTTGTGGAACGTCCCATAATCTGCGGTGACAACACGGAGCAGCTCATTTCATTTCACGCAGGGAAGAGCAGAGCCGCCTGCCCTGAGCGCGGCGGAGCAGCGTGGAAGCCTTTGTTTGCCAAGCCGGGGTTTCACCTGGGAAAAGTTGATCCTCTGTGCTCAGGAAGAGTTTGGGAACGCGAGAGGCTCTGGAGGCCCCGAGCAGCTGCGGCTGTGCAGCGCCTGTGTAGGTGACTGCCCGTGCTCCGGCAGCTTTGAATGACAGGATTCAGCTGTCCCGCTGCTGCCTCGATCGCGGCATTCCCAGAAAAACACGGCTTGGAACTAAACTTGAACTACCCACAATGCTCCCTTCCCCTTTGCTCCCTTGCAAAATGTCGCCTTTGCCAAGTTTTCCGCTCGTGTTTGGAGCAGCCCGGAGAGGAAGCGCCTGGGAGCAGCCTCTCCTTAATCCATTGACTCAGATTTTCTGGACCCTCCTGATTTTTATGATAACACCTTTATTAACTCAGAAATTAATTAGTGTCTGCAGGCTTTTGAAGGAGCAAAGAGTGTGGCAGTGCGACTTTGTACCTTTGTTTCTCACTGGAAATGGGCTTGTCACAGTCTGTAGATACGGGAGATTTTTTGGTGGGGATTCATAGTATCTTCCTTTGTTTGTTTATTTTTTTTTTACTGTCTGCCCTGAGATAACTTGTAACTTCCTTTCAAGGGGCCCGCTCAGATTTCATTGCTGGAGTTTGTACACACCTCAGTTTGATGATAAATGAATTTCTTAATTACTTGATTTTTTTGTTCTTTTTGCATGGAGGAGCTTGAGTGCTTTATGTGATATTACTGAAGAATTTTGATATTGTTTGCTAAAGGAAATTAAGAGGAAAATGCCATTAAACTGAATTGTAGTCTCAAAATCAGTCAAGATTTAGTCATATCGTGTTTTCAGTGTTTTTCCAAGTATGTGGGGAAGGTGGTGATTTCCAGACTCTTTGAAAGCCGGAGGAGTGAGTCCTGTTGGATGTCCCTGGTATTTAAGTTGTGAGTGCATAAAAAGCCCTGCAGAGTGGCCCTGGGGGCTGTGTGTGTGCAACACCGAGTTATGTTGGAGGTGCAATTAAAGCAACCTGATCTCTGCACTTTTCAGAGTCATTTTCCTCTCAGTATTAACCCCATGCTGGACTCGTGGGGTAAACCTGACAAAATTCGATCAAAGATAGGGCTCAGATTTTTTTATTTTGGTCTCCCCACCGTTAGTAAATTGTTCTTGGAAGTTGTTTGTAGTAGAGTGTTGTTCAGGGCTACTCCGAGGAGCAGGGAGGGAACAGAGCTGCCTTTCAGGCCCTGGAGCCGCTGGCAGGAGCAGGGCCAAGCTCTGCAGCCACCAAGGTTCAGCAGGGGAACGTCCTGGGGCTGCTCTGCCAGAGCTTCTCAGGGCTCCACCACCCCACTTTCATCCTCACAACTCCCTGTGGGGCTGCATTTAGGTACCTCAAGTTGATCTTTTTAATGAAGATTAATTCAGACTATGCCATGCCTTTAAAAATGAATTTGGCTTGTTGTGTGAGCATTGCATAATGGGGGAAAGCATTTTGCTGTTCACACCTGTAGTGTCTCTATTGCTCTGATAGTCCTGCCTTAAAATAACAAACAAACTTCTGTGGTTTTGTGCTGCTGGAATGTTATCAGAATATTTGGGGACTAGGAAGTTAGTGAGTTGCTGTCAGCTTAATGTGCAGGTTTTCCTCTTGCTCACAGATCATTTGGATGCATGCAAAGCATATGGGGTATTTCATTTATTGGGGTGATCAGTGCTCTGGGCACTGAAAATCCTTTGGAGTTGTCCAAATTTCCCCCAGTGCCATTGACAGCAGGACCAGCAGTGCTGGCTGTGCCTGCTCTGGAAAGTTCTGCTGAGATCCCAGGTTGGCTGTTCTTTCTCCAGGAAATTTCACAAAGCATTTCCATGGGTTTCACTGCCTCCTGAGCACCCTCCTGAGTTACAGGGAGGGCACAGGCTGTGTTTGGGTTTCATGAACTGTACCAGCAGAAATCCGGGATTTTAAGTTCACGTTGAAAAACAAAAACCAAACCAAACTGTTGCTTTGCTGCTTTGCATGACTGAGGGAATACTTTGGGATACAGGGGGCCTTGAGTGTTTATATGGATGGAGGACCAGGCCCCTTTTGCCTGGTGTGAATGGGCACAGCAGGTTCTGGTGTCACTGCCTTCCATGCGTTTTGGAGATTTTTCCCCAGCAGTTTTCCAGTCAGTGTGTTGTCCCTGGCAGAAATTGCCATTGTGCTGCTGCTTCACGGGCATCCTGTGCATCCTGCTAAGCCTGTGCAGCACAG